AAATTTATTTTAAAAAATGTGTTATTCTTAGTTTTAAATATATATTTCAGATCTGTTGTGAAACTTGTAAGATTTGTGTTGGACAACAATAATAATAAAAAAGACTAACTCAGGAGCAGATCTCTTCCCCTCCATGCTTTACCCTGTGATTACCAGCATATTCTCTGTTAACCGAGCCTTGTAGGTGTAGATATTCTACAAGCACTAATAAACAAACTAGACATCTCTACTTAGGCATTTGCATGCTAAAAGAGAGTCAAGAAAGTCACCAGGTTTATTGCCTGTTGTTGGGGACCTCACTGTGCCCTAGAAGACCTTTCTAGGCTGCATGGTGCGCTTCTTTTGTTGACGTTGGACACATTCCATATAGAAACCAAGGTACCGAAAGCTCCACTATAACTTACTTGGACCCTATTGTGACTTTATCACTCTCTGTGATCTTTATCATCTCAGAAATGTGGACATAAGGGTCAGTGGATCTCCATCCAATTGGTCACACTTTTATAACTAGCAGAATTCCTAAATACTGAACCTAGTTAGTACTTTTCAGTTATAATGCTAGGTACAGTGACATACCTACAGTCATTACTGTTAGATATATTGTGCCCAAGCAGGAGGCCATTCCAACTTTAGGTTTCTCTGGTACCCTAGCCTTTTAGGTGGTTCCCAACTTTTCTGCTTGAGCTACAACAATCATAACCTGCAACCATGATCATTTAAACAATGCAGCCTACATTTAGAATTTGCATGCTTGCTCAAAACAACTTGGATCTTCCACATTCTCTCATGCATAACATGTAGGCCACTGCACCCATAGAGTCTATCCTAGCTTTTTGATTTTAAACATTCTAGTGTATTCTGGTGTGAAATGAATCTTAGCAAGCATTTGGTTTATCTAGGTGAATTAATTTCTGCCATTTTGACTCTATGGCATGTCTCTACGTCTTTGCTAAAGGGCACTATAGGAGTAATTATGCAGAGTGTCCTCATGATGCGTAATTGCTGCCATAATTTCTTGCCTAAAGCCTTTTACAGAACAAATACTAAGCTGTAAATAGTAACCATTTACTGACTGAAGCACAGCTTCACTATCATAGCTCTAGATTCTCATTTAGCTTTTAAACCCAATATCAAACTAAGGGCTTTTCACAACAAATGACTTAATGATTGAGTTGAGGGTTCATTTCTGTTTTTTTGTTATCTGTTCCTTGGCTGCAACTTAAAGGCGGCATTATGCATGTTTTGTGTACTGCAGTGCAGCACAGATTTGATGGCAATGTGTACTAATACAAGTACTAGTAAATTATCCTAAATGATTCATTTATTTATATTTACATCCTTTTCCTGCAAGTGCACCAACACACTGCTTCATAAAAACTCACCTAAGTGCAAACTTCTTAAGAATGGTAGAAACAGAAATTTCTCCGCCTGTTATTTATTTGATTAATATAAGTCAATGTGGGGAACCATGAGTGCTTGTTTCCTGGCTGGGAACCAAGGATCAGTTATGTACGGGGATATAAGAGAGAGAGGAAAGAGTTGAAGGTTAACACACCCCTCTGTTGATATAGATTATTTTGTATCTGCCGCACGTGAGCACAGCTGTCAGCAGGCTTAGTGTGCGGCTCGTGCATTGTGTTTGGCGTTCTGTGGCTTCCCACGGTCCTGTTGGGAGCAGAAAATCTAAGCCCAGGGATTAATACCTGGGTGTTCATGGCAACTGTGACGCAGGAACGCCCCCCCTGCGAGAGAAACAGGAAGTCATTTATATGACGGTAAACACAGGAGGGCTGAAAAGACTGATCTAGGAAAATAACGACAAATGTCATGCTCCTTATCCTGAATGATTTATTTAACCCCCCACCACCATCACACGCACGCTCGCACACATTACTGTTACATCCTTACAGCAGCATGAGCTGAGCATTGATCGGATCAATACCCATGAGTCAACAATTTCCTTTCTACTAGCTAAGCTTGCTGTATTTTAAGTTTCTATGTTCTGTGTCAGAAACAATCTCAAGTTCCTAATTTTATCTCCACATGTTTAAGCAGTGATTACGAATTACATGTCCCACTTAATGGACCAAAAAGCATGTAAAGATTGGCATAAAAACGCAGGAAAGGAAAATGAGCAGGAGAGAGGGAATGACAGGGCCACCCCAGTCGATATTTCTTCTTAAAGCTCACATGAACAGCTGATGCACCCTGCACTTAATTCAATTACACACATTCCCTGTGGACGTCTCTTTGTTTATGGCAGTTCTCCATCTCAATCTAGGAGCTCTGAAAAGATAACCCGGCACAAGAACTGGAAGTAAATTCAATGAAATTTTGTAGACAAAGGCCCAGATCTTGTAATATCCCAAATAAGAAGGTTAAAATTGCTTGAGCGAACAAAAGATTGCATGTTCAATTAGCCGGCGTACTGTGAGGGATCTACAAAGATTTGGTGCTCAAGTGATAACAGGTGCAAAACCGACAACGATCATCCTATTTAAGTAAGGATTTATTGTGTGTCACGTCACTATGGAAACTTAGGGGCATCTGATTTTTTTTTTTTTTTTAGCCCCAATAACAAGCAATCTGACTGGAGAATTTAAGAAGGTGTTTTCAGACCTGGACATTGTTTCAAATGCACTCACACAAAGTGGTTGGCATAAGGAAGAAGGAATATTGATTCATCCATCCACTGCCTTCATCTTATTTGATGATGGGCAACAGATTAGTAGGTGCTCCATATTGGCAACAAGTCTAGTAGGGAACGCCGGAATCCCTCCCCTAGCTATTTCTAGGGAATTTCTTGGCCAATATATATAGACCTTCCTGAAAGTTTCGGTTCTCCGCTGGGTTGTCGTCCTGATGAAATGTTTCTTGAAAAACCCCAACTGATGAACTATTTAAATTGACTTATTTTGATGAGAAGAAGCAGATATTTCGGGGTTACCCTAGATGACGGAGCTCCTTGCTCCATCTCTAAGGGCAGAGCAATCTCAGTCTATCCAGTTGTTGAACATAGACAGTCCAATGAAACATGAACTTTGCTTTTTGGCTTAGCTCTTTCTTCATCACTGTAGACCAGTACAACACCAACATTACTACAGACAAAGGCCCAGTCCATCTGTCTCGCATCTGGATTTCCATAGTCTTAAACTTCCATGTTTCAGACAGAAACTTATAATCAAGGGGTTGGTCCACATCTTCAGATCAGGAAATGTGGCTTTAGTCTAAATTAACTGACTCTCCTAGCTACTTGACGCACAGCTGCAGATCCCTCCAGTGCATGTTGGCAAAAGTAACCAAACAGAAGCTTCTCAGTACTGGCATAAAGTGTATCTGTGCAGCTTGGTATACAGCAAAGTTCAAATGAAAGTGTGCTTCTTTGGTGGTGCATGATTACTCCGCAAACCTTTTTTCCTTTTGCTTCAGTAATTAAGAGGAATTTGCCTCCAATCATGCAGGGAAAATTCCTCAGTAGAACACACATCATGAGCTTTTATAAAGTAATGTCTTTTTAGTGAGGCTGTGTTTTTTTTTTTCCAGATGTCTCATATAATCATTTATCACACAAGTTAGAGTTTTGCCATAAATGACCAAAGATTAATTTAAATATGAATGTAAAATAAACTTTGCTTCATGGTTTAATCAAGCTAATATCTGAAAGGGAAAGGACAGTTTTCCACTCTACTATTAAGACATGTGGTTTCTGCAGAGTAACGCAAAACATGCCAGGCACCAAGTCTGCTGACTTGGTCAAGTCCATCAGTGTTCCTTCAGATAAATTTATTGTGTCTAAAAACCAGACACATCCAGATAGAATTCGGCTGAAATAATTTTCTGATACTGATGCAAATTTATTGCAGGAAGTGTTAGTTCCTGTTGGGCCGGGAAGGCCTTATGATCCGCCTGAATTAGGTGAAATTGTCCCTTCAGAGAGAGAAGCCAAGGTTTCCTCTGCTAGAGCTAAACTTTTTATCCATACAACCATCTTTTTATCTCTACACCCATCTAACAATTCATGCACGTGTCCTTTCTTTCTCTTGCACAGTTGTTTTGCTTCTCATTTCTTTTTTTGCAAAAATGCTGCTTCTGCAAGCATTAAGTGACTCATTTCACATGGTGTTTCTATGGCAGTGGTAATATGTTATATAACTTCATCTAAGCTATTTAAATAAAAAATAAACAATCATTTATTTAATAATTTTTTTTTTTTTACTGAATTAATTTTAGTTGGATTTGGCAGCTTGAATAATGGACCCTAATATTACTGCTTTTATTTTTTGTTTGTTTTGTTTAGTAATGGGGATATATGAGTATTAATCTCATTTAACATCATATGCTCATCTGGATATACTAAGGTCATTCATGCTTAGCAATAACTTGTGCAATGTATAATGTGCAATTAGTATATGATAGCCTGTGCATTAACCTGTTTCTCTATATTTGACACCCAGTGCAATAACTATATATATATAGATATCCATCTATATAATTAACCATGTAAACAGCCTGTGCAATATCCCTGTCTTCTTCTTCTCTTTTGACTATTTGAGCTGATATAACCAGTACATTTCTCCAATGTGAGATCAATAAAGTCAATCAATCAATCAATCAGTTTTGTATATAAATTAAGTGATCTCTAAATAGTGAATTCTAGTTGTAAGGGGGACTTGTGGGCCTGGAGTTTGATTGGCTGCCTGCCAGTTGGAAGGTTAGGGGTTGGATTTTTTTTTACTTCCTCATCTTTTCTGACTGTCCATGGGCAAGACACACCTTGGATGCAATGATCAGCCTGTTATTAATGCTGAGTATGCAGGAACATCTACAGAGAGCAAGAGGGGCGGTACCTGTCAGTATGGCCAGATAAGCTGTGAATAAATTCATTAGTATTTATTAGCATGGGGAGGAAAGGGTTAAGAGTTCAAGTGACACATGTAGGTTTTTTTTGTTCTTTGAAATGTTATTTAATTGAATGTTTTAAATATTTGTCTCTTTTTCAGCTGTTTCGAGAGGTACGCATCATGAAAACTCTGAACCATCCCAACATAGGTGGGTTCCTCTACCAACGCTGATCGTTTGAGTTCCCGTCCGTTTCCATGGTGACATTCCTTTTAACCTCTCATCTTCTGTTTTACAGTCCAGCTTTTTGAGGTGATTGAAACGGAGAAGACTCTTTACCTCGTCATGGAGTACGCCAGCGGAGGTGCGTAGACGTTCCACCAAATGTTGCCCATGCCAACTATTGAATTTTGTTACTTGGCTTTATCACTTCTCAGCTTTAAAGTCTAATTTGCTAATTAATTCAGGCTGGAAACTTAATTTTCATTAGAGAAATCTCCTTGTCTTAAAAAAAAGTGAGTCTGCTGTTTTGTTTTTCGCCGTCATCTTTTGTTGTGCTGACTGATACCCTGCTTAAGCTGCTCTTAGTGGTGTACTCCACACAAGGTCAAATTTATGCACACAGCTTTATTTATAGGGAAAATCAAAGTCCAAAGTCTTAAAGAATAGTGCATAGTTTAACCAGATTATTTGCATCTGGATATAACAAACCTTTGAAGTAAAGCAAGACACACTTTTTCTTTTTTTTCTTTCTAAATTACTCCATGTGCTTTGTTTTTGGTTGTTTCTGCAGGCGAAGTGTTTGACTACCTCGTGGCTCACGGCAGAATGAAAGAGAAAGAGGCCAGAGCCAAATTCAGACAGGTCAGTTAAACAACAAACAATGTTTTGCATATTGTTTCCCTAGTTTTACCCCTCACAGATCAGAACTGTAATGTGTGCACTTCTCAAAGATAAAAGGCAGACCCAAACTTATCATAGTAGCCTTGTTTTGCATAAAATTATTTTCTCTAGTATGAAGGTCATACAGATCACTGATTTATGTTTAAGATAGTTTACGTCATCTAGTTAGTTTTTGTTTTTAGATAATAAACAGGTCTCTGTATAAATATTAAAGAAAATGTAAAAAGAGTTTCAGAAAAAGCATAGATCTTTTTCATTACCTGAAAGTTGTCACATCAGGGCTGATGAAAGCAACACAAGTAATATTAAATGATAAATTAAACACATTTCCTGTTCCTTGTAAAGTGAATATTTCCAATTGATGCTACTGCTAAAACTTTGTAAGGGGGTTTTCAGTTTGGCGTCTTCACAACTAACTTTAATACACCTGTCATTTTTTTTTCTTTTTTCTAGCTGATTGATAAACAGAAAAAAATCTTTAGACAACCCCAATGCCCATGCAGCATTTTAACATTGTTAAAGAAAGCTGTTAAAGAAAAACAAACAAAAAACTTGACAAATGATTTAAATCGTTGATTTTAAATCTTTATTAGCAAAGCAGTGATTTAATTGTTTTATAAAAACTGCAGAGCAGGTTGCTGATTTATTTTTTTTTAAAGCCTCAGGGTGTAAAATTTACACCCATCTAGTGATGGGCTAAAAGAATTACAAATAAACTAGAAGCGCGGACTGGTGCTTCGCTATTAAGCCCGTAATTCTACGGAAGGCGCACGGTGTCAAAAATGTGAAAAAGTCAACATCTTGCAGAAGTTGAAGTGTCCTGTCAGGTGATGAGGCAAAGAACAATACATAACTCTGTTTTTTTAAGATTTCTTTTTTTTAGTATTATAAAATCACTTGATTTATTCTCTAGTGAATAAATCCTATCAAGAGACTGGTAACTTTGGTGTCTCATTTCTCTAACATAACATAACGCTAAAACTAGGGCTGCAACAACGAATCGATAAAAATCGATTTTTAAAAGCGTTGGCAACGAATTTTATCATCGATTAGTTGTGTCGCGCGATTAATGCGTTATCCGCGGCCGCCGTCATCACATCCACTTGACTGAAACGGGGGAAGAAAAAAAATACGGCAGAGCGAGTCAGCGCTGCAAGGCGCAGTGTTGCCAACTCAGCGACTTTTCAGACCCCTCCAGCGACTATTTTTCAAAAAAGCAACTAGCGACAAATCTGGCGACTTTTTACGGTGTCACTGGCGGCTTTTGGAGACTCTTACGTGAAAGCATGCATCGTTCCTACTCTGCCGTGGGGCGCCTCCCCCATCCCAACCCCGTTCTCCCTCCTCCCGCAGGAGTCCCTCTCAGCGCTGCAGTCGGAGCAGCAGGATTTTTACCCTCAGCGTCCAGACTGCAAATGAAGCGCGCATGCACCGGGATTGAAGGCGCAAATTGATCACAATAATTAAAATAGCCTGCGCTTTGTAAAGTGAAAAAAGTCGTAACATGCAACTTTTGTCATAACAAATTAACATGGCACGGAACCACCATGTTTGTTTGGTTTTAAAGTGGGGAAACGTAACTTTAGTTTCTCAGGTAGCTCATCTGATGCTTTCCTTACCGTGTTAGTAGGTTACAGACAGTGATAAGGTTGGCTACTTATTTTACTTTTAATTTCATTTGAATTAGCTTAAGCAGCGTTTATATTTACTTTATAAATAAATTAACTTGCAAATTATGAGGGCAAGGCTTTTAAAGTTTAAATCTTTTGGCAAAGATAAAGTAAAGAAGATCCTGCAATTTATGGAAGTAAAGCAGAATAAAATCCAGCAAGATCAGTAATATGTCAATTAATTATATGCCACATTCCCATGTAAATATCTGTTTTTGGAGGATGTGTTTTTTAGCACCCCTAGTTCTCTCATTTTTATTCCAAATACAATTTATAATTTGAATCACAGGGCTGTTTTTATCTCTATGGTTAAGTATTTTCTCAAGTAGTAACTTTAACTGCTATACTTTCCTGTCTTAAAAGGCAGAACTCTTCTAGTCTAAAAACCTCATTTGTTGAAATGGGGGGACCTATTGTTTGAACCCCTTAGGGGCTTTAAAAAACAAAAATGTCTTTTTTGCGCTTTATGAAACAAAGTACCCTATATTTTGTGGATGTACAGCTACATTTCTCATGTAAGTTTGCGTAGTTTTAACACAAACATTTATTTTTCATATTGCACCAGTACAGTTAATGAGCAACCTGTACTTGTGTGCTTGTTTGTTCTGTCTAAAATGTTTATTTTGGAATAAAGAGGTTAATATAAAAAATATTTTTTGTCCGATTCATCGATTAATCGAAAAAATAATCGGCCGATTCATCGATTTTTAAAATAATCGTTAGTTGCAGCCCTAGCTAAAACACACTTTTTTCTCCACTGTAATTTTGAACCTTTGCAGCATGCAATAATGATCTTTATTTTTTTCTACATTCCGAATGCTTATTTAGAAACATTAATTTGCTAAACGTACCTCATCATAGTTTAATCGATCAACCTAAAAAATAATCTCGCTTAATCGATTGCAAAATAATCAATAGCTGCACACCTACATAAATTTAGGGGGATTTTATGTTCAAAATGTGAAAATGTTTTTTTTTTTTTTTTTTTTTTTTTTTTACAGATAGAAAATCCTGTATTTTAAATCAGGATCTTATATTTTGAAAATGCACATTTGTAGCTACCCTGGGATATTTACCTCTAGTCCAAGCTAGAGCTAATTAATGTTTTTCTTTGTCATAGTTTATTCTAATTGAGAAATTATCTTCTCTGGTTTCTCCTAGATTGTTTCTGCTGTGCACTACTGTCACCAGAAGAATATTGTTCACAGAGACTTGAAGGTGTGTTAAATCTTTGCTTGAGTCGTCTTCAGCGTTCTATTTATTCCTGTAAGAGGAAAAAAATGTTAACATCTCGTCTTACCCTGCTGTCTCTGTTGCGTCCTCTAGGCGGAGAACCTGCTGCTCGACGCCGACTCCAACATAAAGATTGCAGACTTCGGCTTTAGTAATGAGTTCACTGAAGGAAGCAAGCTGGACACCTTCTGTGGTTCCCCACCGTACGCTGCTCCAGAGCTTTTCCAGGGGAAGAAGTACGACGGTCCAGAGGTGGACATCTGGAGCCTTGGCGTCATCCTGTACACACTGGTCAGCGGGTCGCTGCCGTTTGATGGGCAGAACCTAAAGGTGGGGGTGACATAGCAGCTGTGTTGTGCATAATATCTACATCCTGGTCAAAGCTGTTTTAGTTTTGTTCACAGAAACAATAGTGATGCCAGATGCATCCTCATGTGTTTTCAGGAGCTTCGGGAGCGGGTTTTAAGAGGGAAATATCGCGTTCCCTTCTACATGTCCACAGATTGCGAGGGAATCCTGCGTCGCTTCCTGGTCCTGAACCCTGCTAAGCGCTGCTCTCTGGAGGTAAGGAGGAAACTTCAATCCAGCCTCAGTAATACGAGAAAAGGATGTGGAAGCAGTTTGTTTCTCTGCTGCACCTTTAATGGGTTTAATTATGGAGATGTCCAGTGAGATGTTAGAGGGGAAAAAAGGGTTTTCAGGAGGGGATCTTTGTGTAGTTATATATTGGCGAGGTTAGGGAGAAAAGGCAGCTTGTTTCTGGTGAAGCTTTAATATTCAACTAAGATGAAGCCAAAATGTTAAGGCTTGATTTAAATGAATAAGTACACAGCAGCAGAAACGGCAGCTGTTTTCTGTCTGTTTACAGTGTTGCTTTCGGTTATTAAGGCGTGTTTATGGACAGCGATTTTAAAGCTCCTCCGCAGCATTTATATATGTTCCAGGTCTGAACTTTGACTGGCCATTTGCCAAACATTGTTTGTTTTTTGTTAGGGATTTTTAGATTGTGTTGTGGATCATTCTCCTGCAGCAGTTTGAAACAAGATTCAGTTTTTCAACAGATTTAATTCTATCATGCTTTAGTGTTTAGAGGTTTGCTGAGTGATAGCAGGTTCCTTTGACTAGCCCAGATCATCACTCCTCCACCACCCTGCTTGACCGTTCGCTTGAGGTGTTAAAAAAGTAGAAATGGCTCTTGATAGAAATACCATCTTGTTTTTTTTTTTGTTAACTTAGACCCACAGGAAACGGCAAATTGACAAACCCTTCAAATCTGCAGATGATAAGTTATTATTTGGTACATTAAGTTATGAGCACATGGGTGCTACTTTCCTCCCTTAAATCTTGTGTTAACACAAGGGGTCTAATCTTCTATATTAATGCTATGTTTAATTCCAAGTCATCGTGTTTGCAACAATATTTCTTGTTTCTTCATCAGCAAATAATGAAAGATAAGTGGATTAATGTCGGCTATGAAGGCTCTGAGCTGAAGCCCCATGTGGAGCCGGAGGAGGACTTCAATGACAGCAGCCGCATCGGTGAGATTTGTGTTCTTTTTTTATTTACAGTCAATGTATTTAATATGTAATTGTAAATTAAGCCATCAGCGTTGTTATCACTACTTTTAGACGATTAAATGGATTAACTCATGGTGAAAATGGTTAGACCTTTAAAACTTCAAATAGATGGATTAAATGTTTCTGATTTAATGTCCGTGGAAACTCAAATATTTAGCAGAGAAACCAGTATAGGAGCGTCTGGAAATGTGTAAACTGAGTCCATTTGTGTTTTTGCAGATGTGATAGTTGGGATGGGGTTCGAGAGAGATGAGGTCCGGGAGTCGCTGGTGAAGCATAAATACAATGAGATCACTGCCATGTACCTGCTGCTCGGACGCAAGAGCGAGGTGGAGTGCTTCTGTTTTTTTACTCTTCTATTTTGTCTTTAACCAATAGAATTCTTTAAATATAAAGAATGAATGAACATTATTGGTCAAGAGAAAACCCTTTAACTAATTTTCATCATGCCACATATCTGTATCTTTAAATCTTTATTCACTACTTCTAAGGACAAAGTTTGTGTTTTCCTTTAACTAGACCAATTCTAATGGAGTCAAAGAAACTTAAAGAACATTCATGCTTGGTTCTTATCATATTGTAACTCTGTCGTCATTCTGTCTTTTAGAATGAAGGTACTGAGTCTCGGTCGGGCAGCAGTCTGAGTCTAGCTCGCATACGCCCCAGCGCCATCACAAACGGGACAAGCAAACACTCCACGTCCTCTTCTTCCTCCGGTGCTCAGTCTTCCTCCTCCAGCCACAAGCCTCAGCGAAGCGCCTCAACGTACCACCGCCAGAGACGTCACTCTGACTTCTGTAAGGAGAACCTCTTTAACATTGTGGGCTTTGTTTGCAGCTGTTCTCTCGTGCGGAGTTCCTCAAGGCTTTATTCAGGGCACCTTTTTCCTCCTCCTTGTACTTTGTACCTGTGTTTTCTTCAATACTGTTGACCTGGATCCTTAAGGTTGGTTTCTGACGTAGACTGCTCCCCACCTGGGTCTAAACCTAGACGGTGATCTTGAGTTTGATGCTCAGATTAAATCTGTGGTCAGGCCCAGATTGTTTTTACTCAGACAGCAGAACAAATGTAAAACATTCCCATTAAGGCTTAATTTAGAGATTTTAATCCATGCTTTTATTACAACTCTGTAAGAGTACTGTAGTGATCTTTATTTAATTCTCAGTATTTCACTTAGTTTTTTAAATGCATATAAATGACCTTGAGATTTTAGTAGAACATTTCAAAGAAAGTGTTCCCTAAGGTTTTGCCTTCCTCCAATAGGTGGTCCAGCTGCTCCTGGGTCGGCCCACCCCAAGAGAAGTCCCAGCGGCGTAGGCGAAGCAGCCGCCCTTAAAGAAGAACGGTTGTCCATACGTAAGCCGAGCAGCACCACCGTGGGCTCCCGCAGCATCCCGACCCCATCCAGTCCCATGGTTAGCTCCGCCCACAACCCGAATAAAGCTGAGATACCCGACAGGCGCAAGGAGGTGAATTCAACAGTGGTAAGTCCTGAATGAGTGTGGTTGGGTGGTGTCGTTTAACAGATTTGTGGCGTTTATTCACTCATCAATACAACAGGTACAGATGGTAGAGACCTCTAAATCTGAATAACCCAATGTTCTCAGATTACAACATACTGAGGCAACAGTTGAGAATATATCACAGAATAAAACAATATTTTGTACACCAGTTTTTATAAGGAAGAAGAGTGTAACAATGAGTAATTAAAAGAAACGGAGCAGATCTTCAAATTGTGCGCAAACTAAGCTTAAAGATCTGAAGACAATAATCTGATTATCTGTTACCCCTTGCTCACACTGGCTCCGGTGCGGTTACCGAGCTGACGGAGACCGCAACTCCCGCACACCCCCTCTCACACCGCCCTTTTGACTACGGTGCGGTGCGGCTCTGCGGCTCCGGCAACAGGTCCGGAGATTTAACAGAAGTTCACTTGAGTTCACGTAACTTCACGCGATAACACGGCCTAAATAAGGATATTTGCGAGAGCTTGTTGCGGAGGGCTCCGGCACGCCGCAATGATAGCTTTCTTGCGGAATTTTCTGCAGCGCTGGAGTGTCTCGGTAACCGCAGCCGGACAGCTCAGCAGCCGGTGAGAGAGGTTTACGTCTTTTTAATGACTTGGAATCACTGCGGCGCCGCACCCACCGCACCGCAACGGTAAGACCGGAGTCGGTGTGAGCCTGGGGTTAAGGTTTTGCACAGCAGGGGGTGCAAACATATAGAGCATCAGGGAGAGGGCAGCACTCTCAAAGATCTCAGATGAAGTCTGATGAGTTTTCTGATCAAATATCTGAATCGCACTCATCCACATCAGCATTAGAAACCAGATCTAATGGAGCATAATAATGTTTGTTTTGAAATACAGAATAACCTCCCTGCCAGTGCCATGACTCGAAGGAACACCTATGTGTGCACAGACCGATCCGGCACAGACCGATCATCGCTACTACAAAATGGCAAAGAAAACAGGTAAGATCCAAATTTTTTTTGTTCCGTTTGGATCTTTGGATCTTTCTTCCCACAGAGAAACATAGACAGGAACTGTTGGTGCAATACTTCTATGTCCAGCGGTGCAGTGGGAGGTGCTGTTGTCGCATAGCAGGAATGTCCTGGGTTTGAATCCAATTCTGTTTTTTTGTTTTTATTTTATTGTGTTTTCATGCCCCCCTTTCCATGTTTTTTTTTTTCTCTGGATACTCCATCTTCCTACCCCATTATTATGACTATTAGATCAATTGGTGCCTGCTTGGCCCAGTGTGATTCTATGTGTCTTGTGATGAACTGGCCACCTTTTCAGGGTGGAGCCTGCCTATCTGCTGCTGAAAGCCAGAGAAGACCACCAACCCCCTGAATTTGGGGTTCAATTTGGGTACCTGCTCCCTTCTCAGGACTGAAGCGCTCTGTTCTAACCCGTAGGCTAACAGCTGATTTATACTTAGAAACCAGGTCATCGGCGTGTGTGTCACATTTCCTGCAAATGTGCACCCGCCCCTTCCGCAGACACTCTGGTGCAACTCTCCAAAACTGTAGGTGACCACTGGCAGTGCCGCAGACAGGAGGCCTCTAATTGGTTAAATCTACATCCGCTCTACACTATGCGTATTTCCTGTTTGGTACCTTACCGGCTTGTTATGTTTGTATGACCGCCATTGTGGAAAACAACTCATGAAGAGGGACGAGCTAGAAGAGCGAGGTGTGCGAGAATGCTGGGACCCTTTTTCCACTTGGATCCCTGCTCTTTTTCGCCCTCATGTCCCTCCGTAGTTGCACAGATTTGCTCCCAGTTCCTCATCGCCTCTGCTGTATCTTGACCCACAATTAGTTCGTGATTGGCTCTCTTGGGTTGTGGCATGTAATAACATAGCGTAGACCTTACTTCATTATTCGGCATAAATGAAACATATCTGCAACAAGCTCGCTGCGACACACTGCTGCGGGAGGATAACCAGCCCTTAACACTAATCCGTGCTCTAGCTGGTTGGTGTGTTCAAAAGACCAATCCTCTAGCTCTTAATTTATCCCCCTTCACTGTTTCATTCAAAGTTCTCAGGTCACCAATACCACTGGCTTCACAGCTGGCCCACATCGCAATGCTGCCGCTGCCATGCTTGACTGTTTGTGTCCCGCTACTGTCACACAGATGTTGCAGCAGAATCCAGTTCCTGCAGCCTTGATAGTTAGTGGTTACCCTCACAGATTTCTTATAGAGATGCACCAATCCGATACCTGGATCAAAATCGGCTCCGAATTGACTAATTAGTTTGAACAGATATTGATTTGATCCAATCCAGTCAGTTAACATGAAATAGGTATTTCTTTCTTTTTTGGTGCCTTTATGTTAACAAATAATATACAGTGCATTTATGTTAGAAATAAAAGGACAATTAAATAAAATGAAAGGATAAACATATAATAAGCTCACAATTTGGAAATATCACTAGATGTTGTTTTAGTTTTTGGATCCAAAACCTTCCTCTTTGTTTAGACCTCCTAAACAATCGATCTGACCTTCTGCTGTTTGTCACATTGACTCATGAAGCGAGTGTCTATCTGCAGAGGGAGTGTTTGTCTAACCCAGATTTTAAGGAGAAACAGCTTCAACTGTTCATGTGAGTTTTTGATGTTTGTCCATCCTTTTTTCAAAGCATAGACATCATTCTCATCGGTTTTCATCTCACTGAGTTTTCTGATTTTCCGTTTTTTTTGGTCCATAAAAGCTCAACCCTCCCCCCCTCTGTCTGTTTATCAAACATTTTGTCAAGGGGCCCTTTAAACAAATAAGAGACAGTGGTATTGATATTGGAACATTATGCTGAGTCACTGTCCTTCTGAAGATTGTTTCTTTTGGGGGTTTTTTCCCTCCACAAACACTGAGACACCACACGCTGTTTGATTCAGGTATTACACAGGGGCAGCCTTTTGTCTTGGTTTTATGATTCATCAGGTGTTGATGGAGGAAGAAAACGGTGTAGGAAGAGCGGAAATTTTAGGGGGAAGGAGAGGAGATAGACAGGAGAGAGCAGTCGGACAAGGCTGGGGGGGTGGTGTCCTAACGTGACCCTCCTGGTTTCCTAGACCTCGTCAATGTGATGCTGTTCCACATGGCTCGATGGGACCATCACGTGTCCTACTCACTAACACGCTCCGTAGCACATTTAAACTGTAGGTAACTGAGGGTATGTTCAGAGCAAGTCAACCTAACTGTCCCTGATTGTGACTCGTCTAATTGAGTCACATCCTAAACCGTCCCACCGTGGAACATTCAGGCTAAAATGCTTGAAATGTACAGGTTCACACATCCCTAAAAAAATCAAATCTATAAAAAATGTCACAAAGCTAAAACTATCTGTATTAAATGCAAGAAATTAAATAAAATACAATGTGCAGTAAAGAAAAAAAGATACACTATAAAGAAGAAATACTTTGTTTAACAAATCTGCATAGATTAAATTAAATTCAGTTTGGGGGATGACTGAAAAAGAAAGAACAAATGACCATGGTTATTCTTCTGTAAATAACCATTCACAGAAAAAATACACACAGCATGGATGTAAACACAAACCAAGTTTTTTTGGTAGCTGTGATGCTTAGAAATTCTAACAGCTGCTGGGAGAAAGGATCTGCGATAACAATTCTTTATTGAATTAGGACACATAAAGCCGGGCTTACACTGTACGATTTTTTTTGCCCCTCTCGGCCTTACTTTCCAGTCATGCAAGTATTTTTAAATCGGGCCGACTTTCAGCTTGATCGTGCATTGTGTAGTGTGCAGCGCGGGTAACGAGGGGCGATCAGCCTCTCACGACCAGCTCCCGATCAGGAATCGTGAGGTCAGGAGAAAATCAAACATGATGTGAGCAAATTGCCCAGTGCGCAAACAAGTATTTCTTCTTCTTCTTCCTCTCAGATGAGCACACAAAAGCATGGTGGGGGTGCGAGTGAAACGGAGTTCTTTCTGTAAAATTGACAGACCATAGTAGCCCACGTTTGCTCAGCCATGTCTATGAATTTTTACACTGCGATTAAAAAAATCGCAGTGTACGCCCGGCTTAAATATTAAACTGAAGGAGAGCTTCATTTCAACAACAGCTTTTTAAACGGGGTGTGAGACTACAGTCCATCCGTCTCCTAGAACCTGTGCTGTGTTCAGTGGGCAGCTGCCCCTCCTAAGATGGAGTATGCATGTAAAAGAACAGCAGATTTTATAAAGAGCCGTGATCACTGACATGAGCTTGAGCTGAGATGACCAGGTTAAGTTGCGTTTGTCTCTGCAGGTATGGCCTTGGTCTTGATGGCGCCCACTGATGGGACTGGGCTCATCATTAGTCTGTCTGCCTGGGTTTTATGATCTGCTTTAATTGGTGTGGATGAACTAAATCAGCAGGGGCACCTTTACAACATTTAGTGTGAGCTTCCTGAAGGAATTTATCCGTCTACGTGGTTTTTAAAACAACTCGACTTTAAATAATCTCTGCGGACTTTCATTTCTAAAACATTTACAAACCAGTTCAATGTGTCTCTTAATTGCTTAGAAATCCATGCAGAATTCTTGCATACTTCGCAGTTTTTGTCTTAGCGCTACAGAATTCATTCCAAAAAAGTAAAAAAAAAACATCCACTGTACTTTGTTTCCGATTTTTAATTGATCGCATCCAAAACAAGTGCAAAAATAAGGGAGGCTCTTGGCCTGAGACGCCCCAGGAAGGGATTCTAATAGTATGTTTTATTTCATGCCATTGCTTTTAGTGAAGAGGTGATGAAGAAAGCAAATTGTACAAATAAAGCTTAAAATCCTTTATTAGAAACGTACAATTTATTGGAATGACTATGACCTGGATGACTGAGAATATTCACCAGCACAGTGGTACAGAATACAGCTGCACACAACCCAAGGGCAGATGTGCATAAAAAGAGAGAAAAAAATATCTAACCCTGATTCATGCATTGTTTAATGTTAGCAGATAAAGTAAAACTCCTCACGTCATTTTGAATTTAGATCTACTGCAGCTTTAGAAGTTAACACTGTTGTCTGACGCGCCTCCTTTTGAACCGGCTCTCCTGTCTGTTTCTCTGTGTGAAGCTGAGTCAATCGCTTTTATTTTCCTCTCACTGTCGGTCATCACCAGCCGGCCCGTTTGCATCGACGTTAAACGATTTTGCTCTGTGGCGGCTGCTTATTCTTACCTCAGCTAATGGGTCTGCCCCACTTGAACTCTGTGTGGGTGTTATCTAGAGCGTTATGAAAAGCAGCCTGAGGCCACACTGGATGGCAGGGTATGTGTGTTATAAAGTGTTGACTGACAGGAAGGAAATTAGATGTGAGGCAAACGAGGGGGAGGACGGGGGGGGTCTTCAGAGACCTTAAACACAAGAAATTGAAGAGACTGTTGGACCAAAGGTTGTTTTTTTGTTTTTTACATATTATTCTTCTAACGCAGATTCCATATGGTCACACGATGTAATTCTACATTTGTACTGAGAAAGATTAATTATTTTATATAGCTTGCAATTACTTGATATAAAACCAAATATTTTCTATAAGCACAGGTCTTGGATTCACCTGTTAAATTTCTCTTCCCTTCTTGTGTTTCCTCCAGTACCTTATCCCACCGCCTGCCCCCGGCCTCACCCTCCTCCCACAGCATCGCCGGCGCCTCTGGGGTCTCGTCCTCCACTCCCTCATCCCGTCTCTCCAGGGGATCCACGGTGAGGAGCACGTTTCACGGAGGTCAGATCCGAGACCGTCGTCCTCCATCGCACGCGCCGCCGGCTTCGCCTACGCCATCTCACGATGCCAGCCCGCTGCCCCACGTCAGGAGCCGGGCGCCTTCCAACCTGCTCAGCAAAATCACCTCCAAGCTGACCCGCAAGTAAGAGGAGATCCTGAACAGTTAATTGAGTAGGAGCGTAGCTTTTACGGACATTGGTATGAAACTGGAAGGAAACGTCCAATATCTGGTTGCAAAACCCCTTTGGGTTGTTCCTGTTTAACGGTTGAGCTTGTTTATTATTCCTGCTGTGATCTCAGTTTCCCATTGTTTATTATTTGAATGTAATGCTTTAGTATTATAATCTTTAACATAAAAGTCATAGAGCTAACTTGCTGCCTGTTACAGTCCTTTCCTTAACCAATACTAACCTACTAGCCTTCCTATAAACAAGGAGGAAACGCAGGCATCAAATCTTGTCCTCATTAATGCAAGACCTGGGTCTAATGAATGTTTATACTAGCTTGGATATACCCTGCTGATTAGATTGATTCTATCTTTAACTTTAAAAGAAAATAGTAAAAAAAGATCTTACGCTGTTTTTTGGGGGGTGTGGTGTCATAACTTACAAGCTACTGTTATATGAAACCCTTCAGGCGATTAAATGATGCGTTGAAAAACAGCAAACTCCACACTTATAAGCATTCTCTGTAAAATATGGCCTTTAATTTAGCCCAATGAATGATTTGAAAAGACCCAAATTGTATCAAATAGATGTAACTAATTTTTCTTTTTAAGTTTATTGAAAGGGAAATTACTCGTTTTTACACAAAATGAATATGAAGAGGCCCCAGTTTCCTGAAAATGGGAAACATAAGAGAAAACTGCAGATAAACCAACAAGCTTTAATCTGTATATTTTATCTTTTTTATAAGGCAGAAAGTGTCCTACATCTTAGTTTCATGAAGTCCCGATTAAATCATATTATTACTACTGTGATTTATCAGGAACTGCAGGATTTAAACAGCATTATAGTGTGCATCTCATGCAACTATAGTGGAGGATCTGAGGTCTGTTTTCCTCCAAAAACCTTGTGAATTATGTGCGCCTGATTTCTGAAACACCAGCAGATTTTTAATTGGATTATAGTTGCCTCTGCAAGGAAATCTCTGGCTTTTCCCCAGACCTACAGAAAGCCTGTGCAGCGGACTGAAGAGAAGAGAGGACAGGAGAGGAGTCAGGATCCTCTGTTTAGATGCTTTGAGAGGAATAACCAAAGATCTCTCTCCCTTTATGTCCAAACAAATGTTGAAGGCTCATTCAATAACAATGGTGACTAATCCGTTGTTTGTTTTAATCCGTTATGGTATACTGTACAAATATATTCACCACTGAGTAAATATGCTCAAATTAAAAGGTGGATTCTTCCAAAACGTTCATTTTGAGCGTATGCTGCTGTAAGAGGGGAGGTGCTGCTAGTGTCACTCAATGGCCTGAACGGCAGTAAAATAAGAGTGAACGCGTTTCAATTATGACACCCATTACTGACCTTGTTTATGACATAGAAGATAATATTCCATAATCATAGACCATAACATAGATCAATTGGATAAAGTATTTAGTTTTTTTGTTTTTTAGCAGCATTGAACCAAAGCTAGAAAGTGACCCAGGTCTGCAGCTCAGATTGACTTACTGAATGTTTCTTATGGTCTGTTGTTCTTGGCTGCTTACTGTTGCTTTATCTGTTTGATTTTTATTTTATTTTTTTACAACTTTGGCCTCTTCTTACCAATCACACCTGCCAGTTTTCTGCCCTCTCTTTGCATTCTGTTTAAATTGTATTCTTCTATATTTGCTTCCCACTCTCTGTCATTCTGTTGTCCCTCTCACTTTGCTTTCTTTCTCCCTCTTTCTGCCTCTAATCCCTTCCTTTTTCTTTTCATTCCTCTCATCTCCTCTTCACTGCCTTCTTTTCTTCCTCTTGCCTCGCAGGGTCACTCTTGACCCTTCTAAACGTCCGAGCTCAAACAAGTCCGTGTCGGGCTGCACCCTCCCACAGGGAACAAAAACAGTTAGTAAGTCTTCCTTTCCCATGTTTTCTGGCTGCATCTTGTCTGTTTGCTTGCCCACCCCACCAGTGCTTCTGTGGTCCCGCCTCCTCCCTCCATGTGCTGTCCGTTGCAGCTCGGGGTTCAGTCGTGCAAACTTTGTCCTGAGGTAAAGCTGCTTTACATGTAGGAAGCGTAATCTCTGGTTTAGCTCAGTTATAGCTGGAGGGTTCTGGTGTAAATAGAAGCATTTCAGTTACCACATTAATAACCTTAGTGTTCAAAAATTATTTTTGAATTGATAGTTATTCTAAAATAGTTGTGGTTTTTATGTTTCCCTTCCAGGGAAAGGGGGACATTACTTAAGACTGACTGCTTTTTCACTTCTGTTTTCCCCAATTGTATCTTTTGTTCTCCATTTTTGTTTTTGTTAGAGGAAGGGTACTGGTCATTTTACCCCTAGGATTTGTTCTGGGATATGTAGAGAAAGCAAGATGATAGGTGGAAACGCACAGGGAATGGCTAAACGGGCTGCAAACACATGAATGATTCAAACTCCAACGAGTGCTAGCAGAAAAAAGATAGATTAAAAAATATATATATAAAAAAACTGCAATCACAGAAATAAGCAAAAGGTAAGAAGGGCTGCAAATACTGAAGAAAAAAAAAACTGGGAGTTGACAATAAGGTTAGGACCAGACCCTCAGGGAAGGGGCAACCATCACTTCTTAGAACTTAGACATGCACTAAAATACTATTAGTAGCTTATGTATTTGACATACATTGTCATGCATCCACCATGATGGTTAAAACTTGGCGTTTTGGGATTATTTAATATCCAGAGGATCATAATCTCTCCAGTAAGAGACCAATTTAGCTCAATGTGGTGTCATAATAGACTTTTTATTCAAGCCTTGACCAGGATGTCAGCAGACATGTCAGATTTAGGAGTTTCTAATGTTGAATATCGTTAATTATTTTCTTCTTAATAGTCCACAGTAATATTTCTGTTTCCTGTCTTACTAATAACTTGCAGACCCAGTTCTTAACTTTCAGGTAGAGTGAGTGAAAACGTACTCTGAGTCCAAACCCTGGAGAAGGGCTGACCACGCCCACTTCAAAGGACTGAGATAACTTCATATAAAAATATAAAGAAATAAACGCTTACACAATGTTATTTTTATATTAAACTAAGTTGCCTAAAATGATTATAGGGGGCATAATTTGAAACCAATTTATAATAATTTTTAATTGCTGCCGTTCCTCTTTCTCGAGTATTCTTCAGTTTTAACTTTCTCCCACTTTAGGTTAATTTAGTTTTAATAACCGGGTAATACCTTTCTGTATTTAAATGCAGCATTATTGAGACGCATTTTTTAGTATATGATCCACATTTATTATCTGTAGAACTCTAGTAAATCCAGACTAAACCTCTTCTGCTTCTGGATGCCTGTTCAGTTATATAACCAAACCTATTTCTTTTTCTTGCTTACCCTCATTATTTGGTATATTTCCTAATCTGACTTGAAATCACATATTATCTTTTGTGATGCACAATATTCAAGTCCTTTAAGCTGCCTTAAGGCTAAGCCCTGACCTTTAAGTCTAATTTTTGTTCAGTCAGGGAAGGAAACTTGATGTTAAACTTATTTGACTTCAGTTGATCCTTCCTGTAGAACAGCTTCACCTCCAAGCTGCCAGTTTGCAGCTCTCTACCTGTCTGTGTGCATCTGCGTCTGTCTGTGTCTCTGCTGGCTCGGCTTCATGCTTCCCATCTCACTGAAAGGCTGCTAGTGCTGCAGCGCCACCACCAGCTTACAACAGTGAATACACCTTCAAAGTGTTTGTTGTTGAACATGTTTGATTTTCCTGCTGACTGAACGGTAGGGGTGGGTATTGCCAAAGAAGTCACGATTCGATTCGAATCACGATTCACAGGCCACGATGCGATTCTATCACGATGCATCACGATACTTGAATTATTGCGATGCATTGCAATATTTTCTCCTCCATGTTTTGTTTTTTAATGACTCGGCACAGTATCCAACGGCCGGAAATGCTTGTGACACAAGGCAGCGTGCGTCAACACATTTGCAGCGACATCTACTGGACTGGAAGTGGTATTGCACTTGTTTTTGGCTGATGTTCGCCAACCATTCATGCAATTTTATTTATTCATTTTTTTAAATTAATAATCGATTCTTGGCATCAAGAATCGATGCAGTAGATCACGAAAATTAGAATCACGATGCATCATCATCACAATTATTTTGCACACCCCTACTGAACGGTGGATTGAAGCATTAAGCTAGAACAACTATCAGCAGAAAGAAACTTGGTTTGTATAGCAAACACTCATGTGAAGATGGTCTGTGTTTTGTGAATAACAATTAAACTGTTCTAGTTTGAGTCACATAAATAGCATCACATGTTTAAAGATGATCAGAGAGCCCAAAGGGACCAGTAGAGACTTGAAAGAAGGGGATGCATTAATGTTTTTTGAAGAGAAAAACTGATAGTGTTTGCTTCAACCCTTTTAGCTTTAATAGACAGATTTTTTCCCCGCGTCTTCCTGATAAATAATGACCCATCAGATGTAATCAACCTAGAAAAAGCTTTTCCATTTGAACCAGACAACAGAAAATTTTTGTAATTGTGGCTTTATTGTGAATGAATCATCCAGAACCTTCAGGGTCTTGGACAGAACCAGGTCAGGATGTTTAATTATCGGAGTGGAAGGATGCCGGGTGGTCCGCGTGAACCGCTGTCACTTAGGCACCGTTTGCCCAACAATAATCCAATGAAAGTGGGGGTTTATTTTCCATTTCTGTTAACACATCTATATCATGTTTTAATTCAAATCTGTATGCATATGACAACAGTAGGAAGATGAAAAGGGTGTAATTTCCCCTGCCAACCACTAGTTGGTGGTATGTTCTTAAAAACGTCCTGGTTCCATAATGATGGAGACCAGAGCGTTTTCCTACTATTACTCTCTGGAACCTGATCTTAAAATGATCCATTCTCAGAGAAAAGATGCACTGCTTAATAAAGGAACAGTAGGATGGAAACAAAACATCCATTTTCAATAAAAAAAAAAAACAACGTAAAGAGGCCTTAGTTGTAGTAGACTCCATTTTTCCTCAGAAGTCTAACTTTCCTTTTTTTATAATAATTTTTTTAATTAGAAGTTGGAAAGTTGGTTCATAAGCACTGCTAAATTTTCACATAAGATAGGTGCTACTCGCATCAACAGCAGTTAGCAGTACTTTTTAACTCTGACGTTAGCAGTTCTTTATGATGTATGTAGCAAACAGGTACTGCTTGTTAGAGTCAAGATGATATCTTTCAGTCTTGTTTTATGTGCTCAGAATACTGTGCAGGCCAGCATTTTAGAATACAAAGGGTCCACGAGTGGGAAACTGGGATCAATTTAGCTCGGATATTACGTCACCTTAACTTTATAGTTTTGAATTCCAAAAATGATGGAATGCACAATTGGCTGTAATATCATCCAGGAACTAAAAAAAGCACTTTGAGAGCATAGACCTCTGCCAAGCAGGAAATGATTTACACCCACAGCTAAAATTTGCACGTGATATGGATCGTTATAAAATTTTAATGAATTGCTTCTTGCCCTTGAGGCGTGACTCTGGTAAAAGGCACGGCATGATCAGCGCTGCTGCCACCCTCTGGTTTAGGGAGGAACTTCTTGTTCTGCCAAATGTTAAAGAATCCTTTAAAAAATTCCTGTAAAAATAGAGTACTATATTACGACGGAGTGTTAGGACCAGGCTAAATATTTTTTTTATTTCTTCTATTTGGAGAATAAAGTGGTAACATTACGAGGATAAAGTCGTAAAATTATGTTAAAGTCACAACGAGAATAGTCATAAAATTATGAGAATAAAGTCTTAATATTAAGAGATTAAAGTCCTAAAATTACTAGAAGCCAGTTTTGGAACAATGTTGTATAAATAAGGAAATCTTTTGGCACACCAGCATCGAATTGAGCAGGATGTCAAAGTGAATTCAGGCTGCTGTTTGGTGGTGATGGTCAGCTGTCATATGCAGGTCGGAGCCTGTAGCTTTCTTTCTGAAATTGGTTGTTGTATGACTTCATTCTCATAAATATTAGAAATTTATTCTCCTAATCTTGCGACTTTATTCTTGTAATATTACGAATCTTTTCTCGTAATTTTACAAATGTATTCTCAAAAAAATTTTAAATAAAAATAATTACCAGCCCACATTTCTAATAACAGTTAACCTGGGAATTTAGATAGAGAAGAAGCAAATTATGCAGTTTTTTTCGGCTTACGTCTGGAACATGAATAGTTTAGGAGTGACATGATCCCCAAAAATGATAGTTTCAGTCTCTGCTGCAAAGAAAGAGCATTCTGTTAGAATAACAGCATCATTGCTATCCTCGTATTGCATAAAGGCTGCACTGCGCTCTCTATGACCTCTGCAGCCTGTCCAAATCTGGCTGGATCGATTGTGATCTGTGGGCAGCCATAGTGGTACCACCCGCCTGGGATCTGCCACCCCTCCCATGCATTTTCCTTTATATGTGTAAGAGACAATTAGTCTAGTTTTAGAGAATGTGTGAAGGCCGAAAAAACAAAGTAGATTCAGGTTAAAGGGCAACCATAAAGTATTCATGTTTATTACTCAAGTAGAACTATGTACAACCTACTGTTTAAAAACACTTTTGTAGAGTATAAACTTCAGCTTTTTACTCGTGTAAAAGTGCAAAATAGAATTTTTAAAACTACTTAAAATATAAAAGTAAAAGTAATGCAGGAAAAATTTTAAGGATAGTTCATTTAAACCTCATACTAGCTACTGCACTACGCTATTTAACGAATATTTTTCTACAATTCTGGAAGATAACTTCCTTATTCTTAATTTTCTTAGTTTTATAACTAATGGCAGTAGTGTGAAATTGAACTTTGCATAATCTTGAAAAACTATTTATTTTAGAAGTTGGTGCAGAAAATTAATTGTTTTTAGGAAACAATTGTTTTTGTTTTTTATATCAGCAGGCCATAATGAAAATTAGCTAAAATGAAAACAAAACTAATGTATATTTTTTAGAATGTAAGGAGTAGAAGTAAAAAGTCTGAAAAAAATATTACTCCATTAAAGTATAGATAGCCAACATTTCTACTTAAGGTAACAAAGTATTTTTTACGTGTTACTTTGCAGCTTTAAATTCCAGAATGTTGTCTTAAAAGTTTCTGACTTCATCACTGTTTACTGCAAAATTCTCTAATAGTTTTTTATGAACCATACAAAAACATAAATACTTTTTAGAGTTTCTGTTTCTCTCTATAGATGGAATTAACATCACAGTATAAATGGAGTGGATGGATTACAAGAAGCCTTCGTATCTTCATGAAGTCATTAGTCTTGAAAGTTTGTCTCAGTGAGGAAACGAGGAAAAAGATTTCCGCCTGCAGCTCTTCAGCCTTTAACCCGTGACATTCAAAGCATTTAGCATACATGAGCTCTGTACAGGAGCAGATGCTGCTAAGAATCATCTGGGTCTGTTGCAGTCATCCTGACTTACTGACCCGGCATCAATGCTGTTTTAAATCAGGATTAGTTATGTAAGCTGGATTTATCCTTCTCTTTACCAGGGATCATAGGCAGCTCTTCTTTAAGATGCATCAAGGTTGTCTTCCAACACTAAAAGAGTTTTCTCCACCTATCTCTCTGTTTTTTCCTTTCTACTTTTGCTATGGTAGAAAAGGCTTTTAACTTTTGTTTATTAACAGTTTATTAAAATCATCTGAGAACCTCAGACTGTTTCTGAGATAGTTTTGAATACAGAGGAGGAGTTCACAGTGGATTCAGCTCCTGTGGCTGTAAAAGAAGCCTGCATCATTATCTCTCCACTGTTGAGATATTATCAAAGTATTATCAAATACATTTATCATTTTTTCCCAGTTTTGATAATTTAATAACACATTTAAATATTTTTTTAATAAATTAATTTATTGTCACCCTCCATATTTCAGGGACTGCAGGTCGTTTCCGACTGTTTGGCAGCAACTGCTGCTCATTTCTGCGTATTGTTTTAACACAGACCTGAATCCTCCAGAGCTACAAATATTTAGTTAATTAATTGCATTTAATTATCAACACATGGCTGATCCTTTCCCATCTAGGGTCAATTTAAATAATGTAAGAAAATTAAAGAGAACAAATTGTTCTAGGCTTAAGGTACGTTGTTCTGGACCATGGCTGATTGTTCAGTTTTTATCTTCAGTTAAGAGGATTTTTCTCTTTGATTCTCTTTTCTTTAAATTCAGAAATATTGTAAGAAGAAGCACATCTTGAATAATATGAAGCAAAAGCAAGAAAGTTTCTAAATTAAAGCTTTGAATCAAGATGTTCTATAAGAGGATTATATACAAAGCTTCACTTCCTCTTCTGATTTTCATTTCTGTTAAGTTAGGAAACATTTTCTACAAGCTATGGGCTTTTTGAATTCATTGAGTTTGGAAATCCTCTTTATTATTTAGATTACACATTATTATTATTAATCATAGAGTTTTCAGGCTCAGAGGAGCCTCCATGATGTGGGTCTAATCCAAGGATCACATTGCCTGAGCTTTTATGTGGAATTATTGACTTTGGAGATGAAACGATGGTCACTACAAAATTTCTTTAAAAAACACCAACTGATATGAGAACAAAAGAAAAAAAAACATCTTTAATAAAAAAAAAAATACAAATTAAAGACAATCACTACAAAAAAAAATACATTTGCGCCATCAAGTGACAAAATATTAAAATTGCAGTCTCTTTAACTTATTTTCTCTATTTTGTTGTTAAAAAAAAATTCACTTTGGATACAACCAATAAAATTTTTATCAAAATAAATATAAAAATACATACATATATATATATATATATATATTCTCATAATGTTATTTTTTTTTACTCACACAAATGGAAACACTTACAAAATGTAATATTGTGAGATAGTACAGCCACCAGCTTGTATTTCTCCCCATATTAGGAGTTGGTGTTGACTTCTATTCATCGTATTAACTACATTTGTGCCTATCTCTAACTTTCACCATTGGATTCATATCCACAACTTTGACCACAACCTAAGTTTAATCCACCCCATACCTCTCGAATGAAACCTTCCACTATATATATCCAGTCTGCCACATTATTAGCAATTTTTAGTCCTTAAAAAGTAGCAGATCTTACAGAAAAGGTCTTAATTAGCTACATAAACAAGCGCACACACCTACAGGCTGTTTATTTATGTCCCTCTGGTCTGATATAAACTCTGTCCCTCCATCCAACCTCCTCACCTGCTTCATTTCGGTGTTTTCTTGTTGTTTTGTCTCCATCCATTGTTTCAGAGCAGTGTAGGGTGCCAATGATCAGAGTTAACAGAGTTGTGTTGTTCTGTGTTGTAATTGGTGCTGAAAATAAGAAGGAGATCAGAAAAGAAGGATGGAGGATGTTAGGATGTGATGAGAGAGATTGTTTGGTTGATTCCTAATAGATATTTTTGTCTTCTTCTTCTTGAGGGTCACAGACCAACCTGAGAGAATCAGCAGATCTCCGGTCCCAAGGTGAGTACATGTTTGGGTTTTCCTTTTAGCTCGGTTCCTCTGTGTTTGTTCCAGCCATAATCAGCTTCCAGGGATTTTGGTAAAGTTATTTTTCTGGTTGTAAATATCTGGACCCTTGCACAACTCAATCTTTTTTCTTCATTATGGAAAAAAAAAATTTTTTATGGAACTCTTATTCAAAAATGACAATAGCCCACTCAGGTTAAAGATGGCAGAAATCCTGTGGAATCTTAGTTTCTGGGTTCGTTACTGAAGGTGTCATGTGCTCCTCCCAGCCTCAGCAGCTCCAGCCCAGTCTCAGGTTAAAAGCATCAGGTAAAACAGTGACAGGTGGATGTTTAGTATGCAGACTGTGGTGTAGATCTAGACTCTCACTGTGGCTCCTTGTTGTAAATGATTCCGGCTGGTAGAACTGAGATATGATTGTCTGACCTGAACCCATTAGCAGGATTTAGTAATGTGTTTTTACTTGTTAGTCATTGTTATTGTAGAAGTCTTGAATTTATATGAAATCACATTTTTAAATCTTTTCCCACCTTTAATGTAACAAATATCCTCTGCAGTTAAACTAAGAAACTATTTGATGTACTAAATGGTCATAATTTTAGAAAATTGTGAAGGGCAGTTGAGTGCGTTCAAACTAAGGTTGCCAACTGCCACTTAAAATGAGAAACTGACCCATAATAAGAAACATTTAAAAAGACAATTAACTTACACAATAAGGGAAAAAATAAATGAATATCAGCATAGTGAAAGACAATACCTGACCAGGAAGTGTCCCTTGTTTAATTTTCACAGAGTTGGCAACCCTAGTTTAAACACCTTTAAACTAATGCTTTATTAAAGCACTTTTTGATTGAATTTCTTCATTCATCTTGCCATCAGTAATAGAACACATAGTTGAAATGAAAGGAGTTTGTAGCATTTGCATCCTTTTTGTACTCGTGATCAGCAAAGAAGTTTTGCAAATATTTAAATCTTGATGATGCAAATAGATTCACTACGTTATCTATGCAACAGAACATTGAAAGCTGTTATCAACGACTCTAGGAAGTAGGAGACAGTAAGCAGACAGAATCTGTTTAGTGAGTCTGACAAGAGACAGAATGAAGTGAATTTCAATCAAATTCTGCTTTAACTCTACATCTCTATTCTCTGTCTATATTCTAAATTTGTCTGGACTCTGGGGTACAGTTGTGAGACTAAATATCAAAGTAAAACTTTTTAGCAGTTTACCAATATTTCCAATGTGAATGTTTGGTACAGAAACATTATGTTATCACAGAGAGACACAGTGGTGGCAGCTTAATGCTGTGGGGTTACCTGTCATCAGACTGAATTGTTAGTTTTGACCCAAAATCTTTTTTTTTTCTCCAACTAGGATAAATATTGGTGTGAGGGACCAAACTTAAATAAGGACAAAAGGTGTTAAAAATTTGAAAAAGTGCTTTCATTTAATTGTGTAAAAATGGTTAACAAAGGCTCAAAAGCAATACAAAATAACTTAAATACAAAATAACATTAATCTGGACCCAACTTAACTGAGGTTAACTGAGGATCCAACTCAAACAAAAAGCTGACCTGCAAACAAAGAACTAAAGGCTGCTTAAAAAGGGATGGAGTAACCCAAGTCGACAAAATGAGGGAGGCAAAACATAACAAAAGAACCAATAAATACAAAATTAACCATTCTATGAAACAAATAAAGCAAAACTAGCTTTTACTTAGCAGTAACAATAATTAATATTTAAGTAACAAACTAATTGAAAACTTCTTGAAACAAGTCTCCCCCGTCAGTCTTTCAAAAATGGTACGCTCCAGGTTTCCTTCTCCAGCTGGTTTGCATCAGCAGCACCTCAAACAAAAGAACAAATGTAAATAAACCATTCAGACAGACATTAACTAAAGTGTGAACCCATTAGAAAATACCCGTCTAAAATAACCAACTTAAACATAAATTGTATTATAATATAAAGCAAGAAAAGAAAATATTAACAGGATGTGGTGGTGGTAGGATTATCCACCACAATTGGCAATATACAAAGTCCAAGCATGTGTCTAAATAAACTGGACTCAATCTAACCAGATTCTAGAAAAACCCTGGAGGTTCTTTCCAGATAATATTTGTCAAAAATCATTTCAAATATTGCTTTTAACGAAGCTTTAGTTTTGGGGTTTCAGTTGAATTTTACAAGTAACATTAAAGGTGGGAAATTTTGGTAATTTGAACAAAAACGTAACCTTTTTCCAGCAAGTATTTGGTTTATTGAAGGATTGTTACTGATCACAGGAAGGTTAATCACCAAACTGGATGTCTGATTTTATGTTTTTTTCTCCTCTTTTCCAACTCATTCCCATTCATCCTTTTACTTCTTAATTTCGACTTCATTTCATCACTGCTATTAAAAACCTTTTCTACCCCCAACTCTTCCTTTTCTTCTCTCTCATCCACACGTCTCTCCTGCTCCTTCTCTCCCTCCCTAGTCGCCATCTATCTGGGTATCAGAAAGCGGCCGAGCCCCGGACCCCCCGATGCGGATGGGATGTGAGGGTCCGGAGCCCCCGGGATCCCGCCGAGGTGGTGCTGGCATTGCGAGAGGCGGCGCAGGGCTGCGGCTGCCAGGTCCATCTCGCCGGGTCTTTCCTCCTGTCCTGCACCCATGGGGCAGCCGGCGCTCGCGTGGCCTTCGAGGCCGAGGTCTGCCAGCTGCCCAGCGGGCAGGGCCAAAGCGGTGTGAAGTTCAGGCGCCTGTGGGGGGCGCCTCTAGCCTTTAGAGACATCGCCGCCAAAGTGTCCAAGGAGCTGGAGCTCAGAGGTGAGGCAAGTAGGTGACAGACTGACGGACTGAGGAAGGAGGAGGAGGAAGGGAAATAACTTCCTTCTTCTCTTCCTCCGTGGACTCCACATCATCTCGCATTGCCTCACCTCCGCCAAAAGCCCCTCAGCTCCCAGACACCCCCACTCAAAGCTGGACGGATGGATGCAACAGACTAAAGCTGCCCCTTTGACCTGCGACCCCTGCTGAGAACACAACCACACCTGCGTAGCTTAAGGCCATAGAGTTGGACTCTTACTTTTTTCTTTTCACAAGTTCAGATGTAATTCAGGTTGTTGTTGCTGAAAATGATTGAGAACGGTAACTTGTTTATATTGTTGTTTCTGTTGTTTGTCATCATTCCTTTTTAAAGAGCTGCTATTTAAACTGTTCTTTTTTTATTTTTATGTAATTATTATTATTTTTTTTGCTTAGTGCTTTTAAAATAGGAAGATATCGACAACTACTGTCAATATCAGAATCAGAAGTCACAGAGGAAACCTCCGGCCTGTAGGGGGAGACATGCAGAAATGCAGGGACTGTCAACAGATTAACTGAAGCAAAGCTGAAGAAGCCTCTTGGATGAGAGGCCAAACGTCTTCTGCCCAGTTACTTATACTGCTGCTTAAGCCTCTGGATTTTGGCTATTCTTCAGCCTTCCTACTGAAAAGTTTGCTTCATTCTCTCATCTATGTGGTAAACAGGAAGCAAAGCCTCTTTCCCGTCTGACGTTTAACATGTAGGGACGTAAAAACAATCGCACCGTCATTATTTATTAAACCAGTATGAAGCCAAAATAGAAATGCTGTGTTGTGGAAAATCAAATAACACCCAGTCGCTTCAGCTGAAAACCTCACTTAGTAACTATGTATTCTGTTGTGTTTTTAGATAAAAACTTTTTTTCTCTGTTAGCTTTTTTTTTTTTTTTTTTTTAGTCATACTTGTTCAGTTTTCGTAACTGTCCCGGATGAGCTTCAACCTTTAAGATGGAAACAGTGAGTGAGGATTTTCTCACTGAGCTGTTGTTTTTCATTTCCATGAACATTTTCACCATCTGACCTTTGGGTGCATTTACTTTATTCCCACATACCTGAAGGTCTGTTGCCATCTTAAATGTCCCCATAACCTTTCAGGTTATGTTTTATTAACACGTAAAAGTAGATTTTTTTTCTTTGTTTTACAGTGAGACAAGGTAAAAATGACCTCAGATATGTAAAAACTAACACATAGCAGATCTAAAAATACACAATTTAAAAAGAAATCGTATTACTTAAAGCTTTACTAATCAAGACGGCTGAATATCTACAGAGTTTTGCTCATATTTGTAAACGCAGCTGGTGACAGTTGCTTCCAAAAGTCACTGCTGTTGTTTTGCCGCCTTGATGTTAAGTTAACTCGTACTTGGATTCCCCAGAGCAGCAAAGAGCTTTTTCTTCACTGTTAACAAAAAATAGAATATCTAACTGCTTATTCCCTTTAAATACCGTGGAAGCAACATGGTTGAATTTAGTTTTTCCACACACAGCTTTCACCATGATCCACAGTGATCATATAACAGCGTCAAGTTTTTCTGAGTTTTTTTGCAAACTTCAAGCTTGATGTAAGTAATTTGATAATCTTTGGAATATCAGATGATTTGATTATGTTTCAACTCTCCAGAATTAAAAGAGGGCTTTTTTTTTTTTTTTTTACCAGAACTGCAACTGGAAGATAAGCAGGAAAAAACTGGCTAATTAATGATAAAAAAAGAAGGTTCCAACCATGTTTACGTCACTCGATCCGTCTTTCCAAACACTAAGCTCCAGCTGACCATGAAACGGGACTTTTAGATCAGATTAATATTATTCATTACTCCATTGACACCAATACGATTAACTAGGGGAAGCCATAAAAAGGAAAAATATGACTTCACATTTAATTTTTAAATAAATAAAACTAATTCAACAATTTCCAAAATAGTTTTTAAGCAGTAAAACATCTTTTTGGGAAATTCTGACTCTGCAGTAATGGTTTCAAACTCCAGTCCTTGATTGCTGGTGTCCTGCAACTATTAAATGTGTCCACTGCCCTAGAACATCAGAACCTAATGGCTCAGCTGATTTGCTAGCGTGCATTTCAGCTCTACATTGCTCTGCTAATGAGCTAATTGATTCAGGATTGTTGGAGCAGAACCATCTTACCATTGCTGAACGCTGATCATGCAGGACTGGAGCTGGAGACCCCAAAGGCTCTACTCACTGATTCATTTACCTTAGACTGGTCCAGAACAAGTGGACTACACTGGAAAAAAAATCTAAATCTAGATAAGTCATTTTTTCTTAAAATAAGTGCATGTGTTCTTGAATTAAGGAGGTAAAATAAACATTTTGCCAATGGAACAAGACAATTTACATTTAAAATAAGAAAACACAATTGCAATGTCTTATTCCAAGTACATTTTATCTAAATATCTAAAATAAATACTCATTACATTGGCAAATCGTTACATTTACCTACTCAAATTACATTTTTACTTATTTTAGATTGTTTTTCCAGTGTAGTCGCTCTTTCTCTGATCAACACTATGTTCAGTGTCCCAGCCTGTCTTACGCCATTGCTGATGTGTTTTATAATTATTGTGCAATACAGACACAGAGCCAACAATCACAAGTTTCAATCTTTTTTCTTTCGGTTTTTATCGTTTCTGGGATGTTGATGTAGATTCAGCACTTTTTCTTCCAATTTTCCCAACACCTCAGCCTCAATGCCTTTTTTTTTGTTCGTGGAACAACTACAACTCCTTTTAAGAATATGGAATCACTGCAATATCAGGATGTCTGACATTATAGTGAAACAAAATCGACATTAGAATTAATGGCACTTTTCTGGATATAGTAGGCTTGGATATTTCTTTCCTTTTCTAATCCTTGCTCTGGTTTTACCCAACAGCTCACCTTTTGGACTTTCTTTCAGTCCTTTGTAACAACAACAGGCTCTGTTTTCATTTGCACTAGTTTAATCACTGACTAAACTCGCTCTACATGCTGTGGCTCCATATTTTTTTGCCAAGAGTTAAAAATCAGATTCTTTAATTTTGACATTCAAGCTGTAGATTCTCTCTCCTTTTTGGCCAGACTTCAGGACTGATATTAAGACTGTTGTCTCATTGGATTAAAGGTATGGATCCATGACTGTTAACAATCAAATTCCTGCTTTTAAAAGCCAATTAAAAAATAAAAAATAAAAAAAAATTTGAAGCTACACTTTGATGCAACAGATAAAAAAAAAAACTCTTATTTTTTTGTTATTCTTGCTATAAATCCAAACTCTTTACTGCAGCATCTTAAAAACACTGACCTGGAAAAGTCAATGTTTCTGGAGTCTCTGCAGGAATTCTGTTTTTTGTGCGTCAAACCTCCGTCTGAAGATGTGAAGCTGTGATTTAGAGGCCTGTTATGCAATTGTATTTTTGTTTACAGCTCTGCCTCGCCACCAGAAGATGTTCTCATCCTATAAGTTGGGTTCATTCTTCAGGGCCTCAGATAATGTTAAATAATTGAAATCTAACGTACCGGCTCAAATACCAGAAATGATCGACTTGCAGTCCTGCATGTCTCCTAGGATATGTGTGACATAAAAATAAAAAAAAACTTCAACCAGTAATATATTCTTCTTTCTTTTTATTCATATTTAGAAGTGACTCAGAACAGTAACTTTCCTTTTAATATTCAACAAAAAATTAGAATAAGACTTACCTATTTAAGGTCAGTTTAGATTTTAAAATTTATTTCTGTTTGTTAATTATCAATAAGTTATATGTTTCTTGCCCTCTTCCTGGGAGAAACCCAAAAGATATCTGCTTTTCACCTAAACTGACACAGACCTGTTGGTATGTTTACTCCGAACTCTAAACACCACATTAAGTTGACGGACATTATGAGAAACACAAAATATCAGGATGGTAAATTTGACCATCCCAAGAATCATCCCTTTGTATAATTTCCAGATCCCTGATGGTTTCACATTCATCTGTTCAATGTGCATCTGTTCTCTGTCCTATAGATAACTCTTATTTCGCTAGAAAATGTAAAACAAGCCTTATCTACATGGACTCTAAGGCCACTCTGTCAGGAAGAAGCCATCACTCTGGTAGCAAAATAAAGCCAGAGTTAGGCATGCAGGTGGAGCAGCAGTTAGTGTACATGACCCATGAATGGAGGCCTTAGTCCTCGAAGTGGCCGACCGGGATTCGAATCCGGCCTGTGGTTCTTTGCCGCATGTCTCTCCCTCTCTCTCATAACCTCTTTCCTGTCAGCCTACTGTCGAAAAAACGAGCCACCAGTCCCACAAAAACTCAAAAAAAAAAAAATAATTAAATAAAGCCAGAGTCTTGTTTACAAATGCAAAAACTAAGATTGGAAGCATTTGATAGTAATGATCATCATTATCTTGGAGGTTGATGCAGGCAAACTGAAACATGGAGCAGCATCATGAAGTGGGGGTGCTTTTCACCAAATACATAACATCATGTAAACAAACTATGAAATTCATTATCCAGGAAGTCCCTTCTTCAAGATGGACAAGCTTCTAATTATACCACCAGGTTGGTTACAAACAGTGCGTCATGGACGTTCACAATCATGACTGCCCCTGGTAGGCAAAAAAAGAAGAGCTGTATAAGGTAAACCTCATCTGCTGGTTTAATCCAGACGAATGGGTTGATATTCTAGTAAACAGAGAAGTTTCTGGAGTAAAACCCAAAAGGAAATGTTTGTAAACTGAATTTAAGGGTGTAGTTTGACAAATCTGTCATTATTTTTGTATTTGCAAAACAGAAATTATTTTGATCCTAAACCAACCAAAACAGGGAAGCCTCGTTCTCACTGACCGAATGGTTCCTGGTCGCCACGGTGAGGAAGTGCCTGAATGATCTGTCCAATTCAAGATTGTTCAGACTGCGAGTCTCCCTCCCATTGGACATGCAAGGGTCAAACCAAATCCTTACCATAGCATCATCATCTTATAGCCTGATGTCTTACTGTCAACCAGTGAATGGAGTTTTAGCCCCACCCTGCCCAAACCAAACCATACCAACTCAGAGTAGGCTAATCTGGTTAAGAAGTATGGGCCAGTTTAATCTTGGAAACGTAACCAGTCCAAACTGCACAGAATCACCCAGTGTAAATGAGTCTTAAGTGGCGGGAAAAAAGTTAGATTTAAACTATATCTGTGATTTATGTGAAGAAAACAACAAAAACGTGATTTTTCGATTCTTACATGGGGCTTTGTTTAATACTGCAGTAATATTTTACAACCAAAAACAAACATTTTTGGCATACACATAGCCACGACCAGACTATGCATAGGTTGATCCCAGGGTGTTACAGATGAGAGGGGAAGATGATTTCAGTGAGAAGAAATTAGATGAATGGGAGGAAAGGCAGAAAAAGTAAACAGAAGTAAGAAAGGAAGGAGCAGAAGGGGAATTGGAGTGTCTTTGGATGGAAAGAAGTCAGCAGAAAGTAGCCAGTTGGCCAGAAATGGTAAAATAACTTAACAACAAGGCTACTTGTTCATTTTTTTATAAAATAAAAAAAACAAACACAGTCATTTATTTTGGTTGTCTGTCCGCTTCACTTCTGGGCAGGGATCATGCCATCGATGGACTCTCCCTTCTCCAGCTTCTTCTCCATCTCTACCATGAGCTTCACACCATCGACCACCAGCTGCACCTGCTCCACCTCGGAGGAGCCCAGACGGTCAGCGTTGGAGATGTCGAACACGCCGCCCACTGAGGCTGTGTCCACACCGCCTGGAAGGAGAAAGAGAGTGAATGAGTCCCAGATCAGATCCTGGTTCTCTCCGCCTGGCAGGAGAAAGGAAACCTTTTCTGTACCTGTGCCACGTTTCTGCAGGCGCAGTCTGGTGAGGATCTCCTCAAACTTGGCGTGTGTGCTGAGCTTTGGCAGCTTGACGTGCACGCCACCACGCAGGCCAGTTCCCAGGTTGGAGGGGCAGGTCAAGATGTAGCCCAGATGCTCGTTCCACATGAAGCCATGGTTGTGCTTCTTGAAGATCTCCTCAATCTGACCAACATCAAGAAACCTAAATTAGGTTTTTGTACTGACAACAGTATACACAGTATTGCTACATGTTTCTATTTTTAGTCCTAATATATATATATATATATATATATATATATATATACACACAGTATTTTTAAATACCCAGAGTTTAGCTTCTAAGTGGTTTCAGTCAGTTGTTTTGCAGGTTTTCTAAATACGTTTTTCTCTTAACCTTTGCTGCTTTCCATATGTATCTTCAGCATGAGAGTTTTCTGACCATATTGTGCAACATGTGCTATAAAAAGTAGGAAACTGAACTCGTTTACCATTAAAGAACGTGCAAAGCTCAAAAAAACTAACCATGTTTGCAGACGATATTGATATTTATCTCAAGCCTTGTCAAGCCTCAAAGTATCTAATAAAAACTGGACTTTAATCTTTTAACCTCTTCTTCTTAAAAAAATTTAATTCTGTAAGATCCCAGTCCAAGATCCAACTCCATATAAAAACTTTAAATGACCTCCAGAAGGTCAGGAGACCTGATAATCAAGAACAAAACTTTTACTTTATCAGCACTACCCTATTATGAGTAAGTCTGTCTGATTGGAAGCAAATTTAGAGCATTTTTAGAAGTTTATCCTATAACTACCGATGAGCAACTAGTTAAAATATGTCTGTGTGTCTAACATGGATGTTAAAATGTAGAGTTTCACCTTCTGCAGGCCAACGCAGAAGCGTCTGAAGACCTCCTTCATGTTGCCACCCTTCTGCATGGAGATGACACGCAGGTGATCCTCCTCATTCACCCAGACCAGGAAGGTCTTGTTGTCATTGTGCCTGAAGAAAGAAAATATAATTCAAGTCAACATGCAACATAAAATACCTAAAATCATCACTTTGAGTAGTGATCTAGTTCCAATATAGGTCTACAGATGTGTGTATTATCAAAAACTGTAAAATTGAGTTTCTGTAGCAGCTGGTAGCATATTTTAACATGCTTTATGTAGAGAAGGACAAATCTGAGAAGGCAGTTTAGAAAAGGCTGCAGAGGAGCCACTGCTGTGATTGATCTTCCTACATATAGAGATCTTACTGAAAAAAGAGAACCACAATATAACCCAGGGCACGTTTAACTGCTTTAAAGATCTCTGTTTTCCTCACCAGATACCCCTGCCATCGGGCCAATCACGGGCCATGCCGGCGCAGGTCAGCAGGGGGGACACTGGCTTGTCAAACAGGAAGTGATCAGCGATCAGCTGCTCCTGCTCAGCGTCAGTCATGCCATTCAGGGGGTAGTACTTTCCCTTGAACTCACCATCAAGGCTGGCCAGAGCTGAAAAGACAATATGACCAATTGTTGAGAAGGAGTTAAAGGTTTTCACAATCACTGGAACACAGAAGAGTTTGAAACTCACCCTCAATGCTCAGCTTTTCAATGGCTCTGCGCTCTCCACGGCTGTTGTGGGGGGGCAGGGTGAATCCCTTGATGCTGCGGCCGGTACGCACGCGGCTGGACAGCACATAGTTGGGGTCAAGGTCATCACCACCCTGATGGTCACATGGTGCAGAGATAAGTCGGTGTTTTACCTTGTTATTTCCCGTTTTTTATGATCTTAAAATGTTTTCAAGCACATTGAAGAATAAATAACCTACATTTGTTGAAGCAGTGAGGCTAACTCCATTACCATCATTAAGCATAAATGATCAGCAATATTTAGATAGTTATTAGGCAAGGGTAGCAGCTGACTGAATCCCCATGAAATAACTAAGAACTTTATTGTTTGAATTATTGTAATAAGGTCAGTCATACAGAAAGTAACAGGCGTTCATTTCTTGGATGATGTTTACATTCCTATATAACACATGACTTTGCCATGTATATATCCTGACAGGAGTTTTTCTAAATGTGGCAGTGAAATGTCCACCAGGTGGCAGCACAATTTCATATAAAAAAAAAATCTAGATACAAAGCTACAAAGGTACTATATGTGAAAGAAACAAAATGGACAACATCCTTCTTTCTGATGTGGCAAAGTAGCATGCTCACTTCCATCCACTGATAAGAATGAAGCCGACTATGTTATTTTAAAAAAGGTTCCACAAAAAATGTTGTCTTTTATACTAAGACAAAATAAATATGATCCCATTATTAAGACCTAAAGGTTTTGACAAAACTGTTTAGCTCCTCCAACTGCTAACATCATTGCTTCCTATACCAGATCTGGACTTGTGTCTGAAAGTGTCAGAGGTCAAAGGTCAGCTTAAAAGAGAAATTACTGACTAGGTTGAGATGATTAAAGGTTGAGAAGTAATGGCAAGAGAGGGGAGTGAAATGGCTAAATCCATTTCTGCCAGTCGCAGCCTCAGGTTACCTTCAGGTTCTCGAAGTTCAGGTCAGTCTTATGCTTGTCGGTGGGCTTGTATCCGCCATGACGGTCAGAGATGACTGGATCAAGCAGCTCCTTGAAGACCTCATAGGACTCCTCATCACCAGCGACGCAGCCCACGGTCATGATGAAGGGGTGACCTTAGAGAAACCAAGGTGGACACGTTAAATATTAATAAACCTTCTAGAACGATATTAAAGAACATATTCAG